GCAGATTCGTTTTCAAGAGACATTGCAACTTTGTGAAACTCCTATTTTAAATACATATTTCTCCATAGACTACTACAAAACATTGTGAATGTCATATTAAAATTATCAAACAGTGTATTGAGTTTCACAAAAGATTGGCTTACCTGATCACTGTAAACGACTTACAGTATGATACCAAGGACAACCAGCGAACACATAGCTTGTACCGTGTTCTATTTATCTGAAATTCGTAGCCGTAGGCTGCAGAGGTACCCCCACCCCCTCCAACTCACCCACACCCCACTCACAGGAATTAAGTTAAAGGAATTTTAATGGATCTCTATAAAGCGCCATCCCTTTCCTTCTCCAACCCTAATAGAAGTTTCAATTACATTTGCTTCAGTCCACTCGTAGATGAATACACAGGCGGTACAAGTAACCTGCATTGCGGGTATCGTAGGATTTTACATCTCTCTTCACCCCCCCCCCCCCCCCCGCCACACACACACACACACACAAACACACACACTCACGGGATGGGCAAACTAACCCCTCAAAACTATTAATCAACGTATTGGGTCGGTTATCAACAACTGTGACGATCCTAATGCATTTATCAAATATTCATGATTGTTTCCGAGATACGTGCAATATTACTAAAAACACAAATTAAAGTAATAATATAATTTGATTGATGGAATCGTTGAATGCAACAAATCCATCGTGGTTTCTAACGTAGACTAATAGATTCAAGACTTATGTACTGGCTGTTTCTAGTTAAAATAAAAAATGTAACGCTATAAAAAGTAAAGTTCCCGTCTTAGGGCGCATTCCCATAGATTTTAGGTCGATCTATCTCCGTGGGGAGTCTCACTAGATTACTGTCAGATAATCCGGCTTAATTCAATGTCCGTCCCGCCTACTACAAGCTGTAAGGGGGTAATTAACTTTCGTGCCCGCTCGGCTGACAGCTATTTAGCGTGAACCCCCAGGGAGTTAGGTCGCTCTAGTTGGATCGATCTATTCTCTGGGAATGGGGTCGTATATACCGTATTACAGATGCGTCTCAGCGTGACGTACAGGCGCCTGGTCATTTTGGGACCTGATACAATCTAGGCGTTGACGCTGTCGTCTCCCTGGGGAGGAAACAGCCCAGCATGCCGTATGAGGTGCTGAAAGCTATAGCAAACGAACATTATCTTTCTCAATAAAATACAAAGCATGTGTAGATTTTTAACTTCGAATGTTTATGCATGCTTTACCAGATTCGTAATTTTCTCTTTCTACATTTGGTGCTTTTATCTCAACTCTCACGCAATTATTTTGCGGTTGATTGTATTCAGCACCAGGCTGAGGAAGGAACATGACCATACATCTCCCTCAGCTCCACACTGGCTACTATCAACCAGATACCGATTGAGTAAGCAGCACTGAGTGTAATGCGTAACTATGTAATCTGGCAACTGCAATATTGCTGAGGGGAAAAAATCACTAGATCTGAGGACCAAATTTAAAATCAAACGGAATGAACCCACTGCCATTTAATGGGCATGAAAACTGACGGGCGTTGCCATGGATTGTGAACGAATGCCAATTAAAACCCATACTTCTTTCGGTATATACGATATATATATATATATATATACGACTGAACCCAGCATCATGCTATTTTTTTATGTCCATTTTCGAATTTTATTGCTACATGAGATTATAACTAGTGTCGCTGAAAACTAACCTTACCAAAACACCGCTTTCAGAAAAAAGTTAGTATCAAAAAATATAAAACATGTCAAAAAATTCAAAACAAATAATACATAAGTCCATAAAGTGTAATTAACTGTTTTACAAGCGGTCATACTGGATTTAGGTCATCTTCAAAATTTGAGTTTATGAAGAAAATAACATAAAAATAAAAATAAAAATCAGTAAACTAGTGTCTACATGTGCCAAAAAGGCAATTAATATGCAATCTCTATGCAATCAATGGCAAGATATATACTCACAATTACACTGAAAACTGATAAAATAGTGTCAAATTCACGAAATTGCATGCTGAAATGTAGAACACCAGTCAACCAGTAGGCCTATACATTAAACAGAACGCTTTGATATGAAATGACAATGCTGACAGGACGAATTACAGCTTTTCCCGATGGGTACATGTATTTTGGCCTATACCAGAAACGGATATACATGTATCTTAGACACATTTTCCGACTGCAGCTTTATCATAACAATCCTAAACCCATTGAGTAATCACATATTCTGTCAAAACATCCAGAATCTAACCTGGGCTATTTTCACCGCTGCTAGACCACCCTGTACCTTATGAATGTATTTAAGTACCATTGATGTCATCAGATACAATATAAACTCTTTGGCTGCGTGTTTTACAAGGACGAAGCTAGTGAGTTGTGTTCTGCTTCGATCGCTGCAGCCTTGTTTCAGAATTTCTCAACCCTGAAATTGACGACGGCTACCTGCCTATCTGATCGTATTTATCACTTATGCAATAGTTAAGTCGATTAGCCTACATATTTCTTTATTAAAGTCTATGGCAATACGCCGTCAATTCCCCTGTCTCTGACATGCAAAACTAAATCGGCAGTATAGACCTTGAGAACATTAATTAAAGAAAGGAGATTGTTTCCAAACTGAACCAACTAAGGGCGAAACAGAATACTTGGTGTTTTCACATCCTCGCCATCAAGGGTTCGGAAGTTCTACATTTATAAATCCTAAGAATGTATATAAGTGCGCCAAGGCGTTAAAAGACAACATGAACTTAAATGTTATGAAAGCAATTATAAATGAAACATTTCTTAATGCCAATGACTGCATGCACAGCACGGTATAATACAGCGCTTTGCCAAAGTGCCTAAGGTCTACACCCTTAAGCGTTGTATTATCCAGTTAGAAAAGGCCCACCAGATTGCTCACAGCTAACAAAAATAGACATGTTCATGGCGGTTGTATAAGAATGCTTTTTTGTATAAGAATGTTTTAATTTCACTGAATTGTTTTAAAAGTAAGACCTTAAACCTATGTTGCACCGTACGAAGAAATCGTACACGACTTTACGTGCGGGTTTGTTTAACATCGTAAGTGTTGACGGGCGTGCATGTTTACAATATATTCAGGTGCCTCTTCCTCGTGACCTTGAGGTCAGGTCAGACAAGATCATGGAGTTTGTCGGTCGAAAATGGGTCATGCGGAGACCTTAAAATCTCAGTGCATCTGCTGCACAGCCTCGGCACTGCTTCATTGCTGATCGATAATTTGTCGGTGCAGTCCCGAATTGCGCATTTTTGAGCACGCACGTGGTTCTGTAATGAGGAGACACACTTCTGATGAATTAAACTAAGTTTTAACCAACTTTATTGATGCCTCCTAAACTACCCAAAAACTCCGTAGCAATTTTGACAACTGCGTATCACAAGGTTATTTGCTTAACTACATGTAGCTGCAAGATCTCGGCAAGTCCGCCAATCAATGGTAGTACGGGAATCGTGCAATGCCATCTACGATATTGCAACGGGTTTTCGATTTGAAAAAAAGCCAATAGTTCCAACTTGACAAAACCGTAGAGTCTAAGACTTGCTTACAGTAGCAATTGTACCCTATGCTTTACGCCATGCGTTCTTGGCATTTACCACTTGGTCTTAAAATTGAGGAAAATCACTACATTTGATAAAGCTCAATTGTCACTCCCTTCAAAGTTGCTCTTACGTGATTTCAAAATCGAAAAGCGAATTTGAATTATTTTCGGAACAAGCATTTTATTTGGAAATAAGTAAACAAGTAGTTGTAATTTACATTGTTTCCAATTCCGGTGTTACATTTGCAAAATGGTCCGACATTAAAATCAATGTAAAAAGTGTTTATTAATGAACATAACCTTCTTGACCTTTAATTACAGTCCGGATTTTCTGAGAAACACATTGTTCTATTAATATACACTGTGCCGTGTAACAAATAGTAAAACCTTAAAAACAATATCCACTGTTTGTCAGCAATTCCCAAGATCAATAGAAAGAGACGTTTTCAAAGAAATATCATCTGCTCGACCTTAAATGCAGTTATCAAGAAACAAACGGTCCTTTTAGTAAACACTGTTAATGCAAAACAAATATTTGAACTTTCAGAACAGAAAACACAGAGGATTTTCCCTGTTTTTTCTTCATCGAAATTCGATAGGGCAAGGAGGCAGTATTGTCTTTTCATGATCTGTGATGATGCTTGCACCAGAGAGACCGCCGCGAGATATCGTTTATTGGCAGCGCCATTACGATCGGCTTATGTTTATCAGCAATCTGGACTCAATCGTCAAGGAGACACTTATTCGCTGTCAAGCAGGGCATTTTACCCTACAATAATCTATAAACCAATTACAAAATGTAATCCTTGAACATAGATGTTCATTTAAAGACGGGTTCTTTGCAAGGACGTAACAGTCATCGACGATTCGGTAAACATTTCGCATCAAGATGTTGTAATTCGTTTTCACGTTCATGCAGTAAAACCAATGAGCAGATAAAGCGTACAAAGAAAGTGCTTCATTTTTTTTTCAAATCTAGCTTAACCAGTTTCTGTTACAAATAAGATATTATTAACGGACTGGACAGCAAAAAATGCAGTGAGTGGTTGAAATGAATTACATCTTGCTAGCAAAACGGTAGATGCAGGAAGGACTTAACACGCTGTTAAAACTGACGAGAAGGGTCCCTGACCATCCATACGGCCACTCACCCGCATTCACGTGGTCAGTACACAACCCTTGGTCACAGCCGTCTCTGATAATTAACTAATCACCTTGCCATTTGTTCCCAAAACCAGGTTTGTAGTTGACCCATACTAGCCCTTATATAGTTACATAGTAGTAATGCAAAACATTTACCTCTACTCTGTGGCTGTATATGCCACAATGTACAATGTAAAACGCGTACGTGGTTTTGGCGCATTTAAACCGAGATTAGCAACTCAAGTTAACAGATTTAAAAAAGTACTTAAAAGAGACATACCGCAGTGAAGTTCCCTGCGCCAGTGCCTGCCTCCGCCAAAGTAAGCGTATGTGACACACACCAGTGTAAGTACACGTACCACCGAGGCCAAATTCGTTCAAACCGTGTGAAATCAACACGCGGAGGAAATGGGTGCCCAGCTGTGTGTGAAGGAACACGCTAGAAGATTACGTGTGGTTACTCCCAAGCTGCTCGTCAATTTTTTGTCTTAATTATGAACGGAAGCAATTCGTAGAATCAAAACTGCAAATTGGATCTGATGAAGAACCTTGAGCCGTGTCTGTTGACAAACTAACATGGTGTTATTTTCTGAATACACACCTAGTGGAACTTCAACCGAACATTTTCGTGTCTCTAAAATGGTTACTAGAAAGGTCCTTGAAGCGAGGAGCCGTCAACGTATTCAGTACTGCGCTTTTCCGTTAGCTGGTACAGTATTATGCCTTTCCACGATACTGCGATGTTGTTCCTTATGCCGTTCTTAATGACTCTATCCACAAGGTAGGGACGACGACACAGTTCTACATTTAACTGCCCACATAAAAGTGTTCATCAGCTGCGTACTGAGGATGACCCGAGCTAAACTCCGCTGTTGCCGCTAGGTGCCGAGCATTAACGCCACGGTTTATGGATCTGACTTCAGAAAGACGCAGGAAAATAGGGATTACTGCGTCATACATGCGAACAGAAGGAAAACATAAAAAAAGGTTATCCTTTGTTATGCATCGGTAAAGAATGACAACAAAAACAGGGCAAACAGTCAAACAGACGGATGAAAAGACGGCACATTATAACAATAATTATTGACTGTGAACCTGGCCAAAATAGAAATGAATGTCATTTCAACTACTTGCCTTATTGAACACTCATTAAAAAAGTGTAAAAGGAACAGATGATCTAAAATTTCATCAATAAATCGCATTTGTGACACCTTTTACCTTTTCCATACATAAAATCCCTCTAGTACGTCAAAACTGCGCTTATATAGTGACTTTTCCTGAGGGCTAACATGATACGGCGAGGTGTTTGGAGAATGTTTCAAAATGCAGTAGATGTGCCGATAATTACAAATGTTCGTAGTGTGTGTGTGTGTGTGTGTGTGTGTGTGTGTGTGTGTGTGAGAGAGAGAGAGAGAGAGAGAGAGAGAGAGAGAGAGATCAAATTCGAAACTCAAAAGTGAACGAAAGATTAATAGTTCTACAAGTAAGTTACTAACACTTCCAAAACAATCTTACCTCAAACAGCAGTGGTGGGGGACTGAAGGACAGAAGATGTTAACTGGTAATTAAGGCAAGGGGGTCAGAAGCTATATATACTTAGACTCGCTTTGGTCGGCGAATGTAAAAATAGTTCTCGAAAGCATTTTTACTGCAATATGTAGGTCTTAGGGATGACAATTTCGCTTGGTTATATACTCTCGTTTTGTTTGTTATACTTTAGTTTGGAAGTGGAAAGGGGGGTGGCGAAGAAGGGGGGAGGAGGAGGAGGGGGACGGCAACTACATGCGTATACCTTCTTTCCTGGATTAGCCTTGGTGTTGGGTTGGATAATACGACCAGTTTTTTGTGGTTCAAGGCAGATTAATGTCTCTTTTTAGTGTCTCTTTCTTTAAAAGCATCATCTATGACATTTCGACGCAATTTTTAATGCAACAACAACATGATATTGCCTCTGGCACAGAAATGGTTTGAATCAATAGCTTTAATTAGAACCACGAGGGGCTGCAGGGAACAACACGGAGTTGCCAGAAGTGAAATTTCATTGAATTGGTGTAGCACTTTTTTTTTGAGTTGTTAAAGTCTAAAGGTTATTTCATCTGATACATGGACACGTGCACATACACACAAACACACGCGCACACACACTTACACACACACAGACACGAATACACAAACACACACACAGAGACACGAATACACACACACACATACACGTACACATATGTATACACACTCACACGCATGCACACAAATATAATGAGACAGGCTGAGAAATAAGCTAATATTCGTACATAGAAAAACCCGCCTGGGACATTACTGAAAAGCACTGAATAACACGACATAGAAAATCAACGTCATATTTCATTTCGGTCAATTGTTTGTGGTCCGTTGATAGCACGGTTTGATAATGAGTGATTTAATTTCGGTTATCAGGCAAAATGAAACTATGTATCTTTCACCGCGGCGGTGGTTATTTATCATCTTCTCGGACCTACCATCACGCAACAAGTTATCTGTAAGCAGCGGCGGAGAGCTCCGACTGTCCCTAACGTAATTAAGTTTCTTTAGTAAGGCTTTATGAAGCATTTCTAGATAGACCAATTCATGAAAATGACGCCAAAGAATTGATTTGCATTGTTATAATTGGTCTGAGATTTATAGTGTCGTTTCAGAACTATGTGCAGTCGCTTTCATTAAGAGCAAAGGAACAAAAAAGAAAGAACCAGCTCGGGTTTGTTAATTCTCCATCTAGGGTAAAAAGAGGTCACATATGGACGCTGTTAATTTGCTAGCTTATAATTGGAACATAATGTCACAAAAATGAGACAAGATATTGGACAGGCACTTCCAAGAATCCTTAATGGTTCACATTTGGCTCCTTCAGACCGATATGAGGACACCGAGAACCCAATAAGTTTAGCTTCGTTAAGACCATATTTATCAAGTGTGCCATGCACGTGCACGTGGTACAGACACTGGCATGTTATCACCAACATATATGCTACATGTATGTCTCGTCACATGAGTTATATAGCAATACCAATAATTATAAGAAACCAGTGAAATCATGCTTCACTAATTTACATGAAAAATGTCCGTTCTACATATACTGGGAAGGTTTTTCCACAAGGCTCGCTTACAAATAAGTCAATACAAAGGGTTTTAGACTGCATTCCCACATATTAAGATCGATCCATCTGGATCGACCTAACTCCCAGGGGGGTTCACGCTAAATTGCTGTCAGCCGAGCGCGCGGAAGTTAAATACCCCCTTACAGTTTTTAGTAGGCGGGACAGACATTTAAGCCGGCTAAGCTGAGAGAAATCTAGTGAGACTCCCCAGGGGGATAGAGCGATCTAAAATCTGTGGGAATGTAGTCTTAGTTGGGAGAATGCACTGAAAGGGAAATGGGTCACGCACTGATTAAGTAAGACCTCTTTATTATCGGTTATTTTCCTATTTTCGACGAAATCTGTGATTGATCAAAGGTCTGTTCATTATGGAGATGATGGTTTGTCACCTCAGTAATTGTGTGAAACCAGAAGATGTGAAAGACCGCTACTTTAATTAAGTTGTCTCCGTAGCTTCCTTTGTCTGAGAGCTAAGTATCATGGATATCACAGCCGATAGCATTTGCCGTATTACATTTATATACGGTACCTAGTAGCTATTATTAATAGAAAGTTTGGGCTTCGAATCTACTTTTTACCCAGCCGCAAAACCTGAAAATCTCAGAGAAAATTTAACTCATAGTTGGAGCCAGTATCATCAAGGCAAAGCCCTATCCAAAAGTTTCTTGGTGTTTTTAGAGATGGAACGCTTTTCACAAAGAAGAAAATTTCTAGTAAATGCAAATATGCAAATAACACTATAAACAGACAGTGTAGGCTCAATTCGTAGTCACCTTTCAAACTCTGCCGCAACTTCAGACATAAATTATTTGGTTACTTCTAAATGGGATCACTGTACCCTCCAATATCAGGGGCCTATAAAATAGTTTACGAAATTTAAGTACAGGAACTGAAAAAAAAAAGCATCATTATCGCGTCTGCATGAAGCTACAGCTAGCCTTTGGGAACGCTTAGACTGGGTTCCCATATCTAGATCGATCTAACAGGATCGATCCATCTCCGAAGGGGTTTCTCGCTAAATTGCTTTTACCGTAAGCGACTTAGATGTCTGGCTCGCCAACTGAAGCTGCTAAACGATAATTAATTTCCCCATAGCTGCTTCTGTAGGCGCGACAGACATCTAAGCCGCTCAAATTGATTGCAATTTCGCGCGAATCCCCTGGGGGATAGATCGATCCACAGTCAGTACGATAGGGTCTGGGAATGGTCCCTTACAGACACGGCTCGATTTGAAACTTAATCTCAGCACTGTGAACTAGCTGTGAAAGGTTAGGGAAACCATCATTACATAATACCTTTACTTACAGGTATGTACGGACCGTGCTAAATTGTATTTTTACTGAAATAAAAGAGATAATGAGATAAAATTGATGATGGGCTCAACAAGGTACTCTCCTTAATTGTGTTTAAATCATTAACATAACAACTGAAATAACTGTAGATACAGCTGACATACAGTAAATATCCCCTCATTTTTCCTCCCTTCCTTCGTTGTTTTTCGTTCACTGATTAAAAACATCTAAGGGCACTGTCGATAGTGCTTTATAATCACCATACTGACTTATGTCGCCTGTGGCCTTACGAGCCATTCAACCGATGCCCATTTCCTTCTAAGAATTGCCCTTTGGACCGTTCGTAGAATTGGATTTTTTTTGTTTGTTTGGTAATGTCATATCTTGGCGTATTACCAACATATTATCCAATCTTTTGGTGATTGTGCACGCTGCATCGCTTAGTCAACAATAAATCTTGCCCCAGTTTTGAGAAATACTCGCGTGATCAGTCATTTGGCTTCGAATGCTTTAAAAATCGTTATAATTAACTAACGGTGCGTCTTTTTCCCAGGAATCTGATGTAGTGACGCCAAGTAATTATTAGATAAATGTCCATGTTACAAGAAAATAAATTAGTTGTTTTTTTTTATTTATTTGCGTCACACCTCAAAAATAATTATCTTAAAAGCCCAAGGGACAGAAACGCACTGAAGTGAACCGCTCTTTGAGATGAACTCAAATACATGGGGCCTCGCGTTGCAGATAGCCATAATGAAACATTAATGAAATATATGAGTACGTCAAGAGTCTCCTAAGTGCCTGACAATAACGTATTGAACACTACGTATTTCTATACAGATACAGTTTTCTTTATTATTGCGAAACTTTCGTCATCAATGCCTAAATTTTGGACTTGTCAAATATGTCATCTTAAATAAAGCTGTCTTCATCATATATGCATGCATGTATAAGCGGCTTGTAACGAAAAGCTACAGAAGTCAATACCAGTTCATCATCATGGATGTGTCTGTAAAAGGAGAGTCAACGGAGGACAGGGCACTGATGACGCGATTCCTTACCAGGAACCAACAGGTTCGATGCGTTGTTGGACAGGCTCCGCAACTCAAAAGCATCGCGAATTGCGACCGAGCGCAAGCGTCTCTATGCCATTACTCGACATTTACTCGCCCCATATGTAGGCCCTAATAGCCTCGAAATGAAACGTGATTCGCAATGCGCGATGCTTTCGAGTTACGGAGCCCAGAACGTGCAAGTGCATGCCCTACATAAATGTCATTACGGCAAATTTGGTCTCAATAACGGACCAATCATTTATAACTAAATTGCAAAATTGAATAAAAACGAAATGAAACACCGAATCCAAAGAGCAGGGGTGGGTCGAGCAATAATTCGTCAGTGGGAAAAAATTGCCTTTCCTTCGAGGAAAATTCGCTTTGGTAGGCCCTACGAGAGTTTAATAGTCTGCCCTCTAACATTTCAGCCTAAAAATGTTTGGCTTTGGTAAGTTAATTGAGGTTTTAATAATTATTCGCAGATAGAATTTTACCCATGCATTGACCGGTGTGACAGGAATAGTAGTCTTAGGAATGGCAGTCTGGGCTCCCATATGATTAGTCAGGCTCGTAGCCAGGAGAGGGTCCGGGGGTTCGAAAGAACCACCCTTTTGCTAGGAAAAGGTCCACTCTGGGTAAAATTTGGTCCATGTACTTGAGGATTTTATGGTAAAAGGTCCACTTGT